TATTTCTTTTTTAAGAAAAGCAAATATAGATGGAAGAAAAAATTGACAAAGCAATCACTCTTAAATGACCCATGGACATTTGCCTTATAGACAGATGTCTACATGCAGGCTTAGGCCGGGTTCTACTTAATTCCATCTTCTTAGATTGAAGGTTTATCTAAATTTATATATGTGGAAATGACAGATGAACACCAGTCTGAGTAATAATTAGCGAGCCACATCCAACATATCTTCATCCACTAATACATTGTATCTATGAGCTACTGGCCTCATGGCAATGCTTTTGACCAACTTAGTAGATTTCTGTCAAGGCGTTAACCTAGGTAGGCCCCTCAGCCTTAGCATATGGTTCCATTTCTACAATGCAGTTCCTCCAATGTGCTTGTCAGACAACAAAACCCAAAACATTGCTCTTGAGTGATAATATCAAAATCTTGCAGAGGCATACTGCACCTGTGAATTGTTGTCCAGTGACAGATATAACCTACCGCTCATGATCAGAGGAAACAAATGACATTATTTCAGGATTAAATCCACAAATAAGTGATCACCTGGGAGAGGAATGAGCATGATAGTAAAGTCATCTATTCTAAGTTTGCCCTTTCTCTCCCTCTGTCTCTCCTTTCGTCCCTTTTAACTCTTTCTCTTTCCCTCCTTCACTCCTGTCCTCTCTCACCTCTTCCTATTCTCCTCTATTTCCTCTCCATCCTCTCTGAAACTGTGTGGCTCAAAGTTGTCCTTCGCCTTTACTCTCCATCTCCAGGCAGATTTTGTACCTCTTTATAACTGATTTCCTGTGCTTTCTCTGACAGCATGGATTTAGAATACTCAGCTATGTTTCAGACCTAGCTGAGTTATCCTTTCTGCCACCACAATTGATATCTCTTTCCTGGAAGGCAGTGTGCTTGGCTCTTCAGTGAATCTTTGCTTACATTATCACCTTAAAGTATTCAAATATCCTCACTCCTGAACTGGTGGGGCTGCTTGCATTTGTTTCAAAAACAAAAACTTTCAAAAGTCCTTTCCTGACTCCCTCTGTCTCAGGGTAATGCTGTGCCGCTCCCCCTGGGTTTCCCCAGCCAGGTACCTGCAAAGCTTGGCAGTTTGTTTTGTTTTGTTTTGTTTTAAGTTGAGGCTGACTCTGAGCAGTTCTGGTTGCTGAACTTTAACCAAAATGACCCGTGCCCCCTCAAGCCTGTACCATTAATCACCCAAGCTGACAACCACAAGTGCCCTGCATTTCCTCCACCACTGTGCCACAAGAGTCACAGGGACAGCACAGATCCAGGACCACATTTCAACAAAAGTGGACATGGCACACGTTAGTTCCAGCCAGTGAGACTTTGATGCTCTCGATTAACATAGTGCATCATAGGCAGATTCTCATCAAGCCAACTTCCATTATTCTGTGTTTTAAGTGTGAAACATAGAGAAATCCGTACTTAGGTAAGCTCCCCAAATATGACTTCTCTCCAAAACCAAGGTGACTTGGCTCTGTCTATGATATCCATGGAACTCATCAATAATGATACAATTCAGTCATATATTTTTATGTTGTTTGTAATGTAAATTTTCTCTATTTTCTGATTATGACATTAAACAATATAAGAAATGCACAGTATTTCTGAAATATGAACATACGTCTACAGAATATATGTTATAAACTTTTAAAATACTTACTAATTCTTTGAGAATTTCCTACAATGAACTTTGACCAAATTCACTCCTCATTCATTCCCTTAACTCCTCCCACATCCATCCCTATCTCCGACCCCATTCAACCTCATGCCTGATTTTTTCTATTTCTCTTTTGTTTTTTGAGATTATCATATAATCATATCATTTCTCCATGTCCCTTTTCTTCACATGCCCCTGTTCCCTTTCTTCTCTCTAACCACAACCATATATTCTTCCTTGCTCTCTTTCCAGATCTTAAACCCTACACAAAAGGCTACTAATAGCTAAAGAATACTGAAAGTAGAAGAAACAGTTTGCATAACATTTTTTTACCAATTCACTGAGACCAGTTTGTGCTGGCCACATACTCCTGGGTGTGGGATAATTCACTGGAGTGTGGTCAACCTACCAGTAACAATCAATTTAATGAAAACTGACTCTCTCTACCCCAGAAGTCCTCAACTATACTTAGTGCCACAATTAGGGTAGAGGTTCATGAATCATTCCTGCTTCTCACTAGAATGTTGACTGGCTTGATTTTATGCAGGCAACCACAGTTGTTAAGAGTTCATAAGTACAGTGCTTCTGTCATGTTCAGAGAACACTATTCCATTCTGATCCTCCCAGACTTTTAGCTCTTCCAATTTCTTGGGACCCTTTTCCACAATCATCCACCAGCCTTGGGGACTGGTAATATAGATGTCCCATTTATGGTTAAACACTCCACTGATACTAAAAGTAAGTTATCAAGCTGACTATGCCTCCCTATATTAATATACATTCAATAGAAAACGTGATCCTAGTTCCCAGCTAGATCAAAAGCCTTGCTTCATCTTATGTAATCATGGGCACTCTTCACTGCATTTTGAGGATAAAATGTTTCCCTGATTTTAACAGTTTTGATTTTCCTGGTCAAAAGACACTTTATTTCTCTGTAGTAAATACCTAGACCCTATCTCCTTTCTCACACTATCTGGTAAGGAGGGAATAGTCTGGGTTTAAGATCAAAGCAAACACACATGGAGGAACTTTGACTCTTAATTATTGGGGAAAAATTAAAGATGAACATTTTGACACAAATTAAATTCCAAAGTACAGTGTTGTTCTTAATTTGTAGTGATAATTTAATTAGTCAAAAGGGGAGGTAATAGAATAGTAGTCATGCTCAGGGTCTCCAGAAGTAGACCAATTATAGTCTACTATAATAGGTTAATTAAATTGCAATCTTAACCTTTGCCATTTGGTAGCTTTGTGATATTTAGCAGGCATTTCACTAGGTCTCAATACCACCTCTACAATGAGGAGCCTTGCCTCTAGCTGTAAAAGAAGTAGAAGAAGATAGTGAAGAGTGCTATTCTGTTCTGACCATTTAATAAAAGATTTCCTGAGAAAGTAGCTTATGCTGACATCTGAGGGACAAACAGGAGTGATTCAAAAGGGATAGTCCAGACAAAGGTAAAGCCAAGTCAAAAGCTGCTGAGGCATGAAGAAAGGACTTCTTAGTTACTTTCAGTTTCCAAAAATTCAAAGAAGGAAATGGTAGCTAGAACATAATAAGAAAGTGGCAAACACCATTGATTAAAATATCTCAAGAGAGGTCCTCATCTGGTGTGGCCTCCTTTGCCCAGTCATCCTTCCATCATTCCGTATTTCCTTCCTGGGAGTTCTCTTGTTATCCTATTACTTAGATAGTTTTATTATGTGTTCCTTACTTAATTGCTTCAATGTAAGTTCCATTAATCATTTCTATTTCTATAATACAAAAAAATAGAATTTGGTTAAAATCATTGGCATTTAATAAATATTGGATAAAAGTGGTAAAAACAAAATGGATAATTTCTGTAAAAAAAAAAAAAAAAAAAAAAAAAAAAAAAAAAAAAAAAAAAGGTAAGCTAGAGCCTAATAGCAAAGGGTTTTATGTGCCCTGAAACAGATTGGATGGGCATTTTCACAATATCAGTCCTACTGATCCATGAACATAGGAACTCTTTCCTTCTTCTGATATCTTTCTTCTTTTTTTTAATTTCTTTAATTTAAATTCTATAATTTCTTTCTTCAGTTTCGAAAACTTTTTATTATACAAGTCTTTCACTTACTTGGTTAGAGTCATCCCAAGATACTTTTTCTAGCTATTACGATAGGCATTATTTCCCTGATATCTTTTTCATTCTGTTTGACATTTATATATAGGAAGGCTATTAATTTTTGCATGTTAATTTTGTATCCTAATACTTTACTGAAAGTCTGTATCAGCTTTAGAAGTTTTCTGGTGGAGTTTTTAGGGTCTTTTATGTATAAACTTGCATTATCTGTAAATAAAGACAATTTGACTTCTTTCTTTCCTATTTGTATCCTCTTGATAATGTTTCAAATACAGAATATTTTTATCTTTCTTTTTTCTTGTATTTGAGTTAATTCCTAACTTGGAAACAATAACAAAATATATTCAAGTCCTACAATTTTATGATTAATCCATAAAATTTGTAAAAAATAATATCTTGGAAATTCTTAGTGAATAGATCCTTTTCATTTATTTTTTTCTGACTGATTTATAATTCATATTCAGAATCAGAAGACTAACAATCAATTTTGTTTTTCAGGGCAATAGCAACCAAAGTTAACTTTCTTTCTATTTTTTCTCTTGCTCTTCTTTCCTGCCCAGGTTTCCTATGTCAAAGCTATTGATATTTGGATGGCAGTGTGCCTCCTTTTTGTGTTCTCAGCACTTCTGGAGTATGCAGCAGTGAATTTTGTATCAAGACAACACAAAGAACTTTTGAGATTTCGACGAAAGAGAAAGAATAAGGTAAGCGATTACTTTTATTGAGTTTAATGGGATATCAATTTGCAGTGGATAGTGATTTGTTATATTTAATGCAAATGTCTAGGAGAAAATTTGGATTAGAGACTAAATGAAATGATATTCTCTCACTTTTGTACTTTTAAAAACCGTGTAAAGATCGGTTCAGGGAGAAATTGTAGTATTGAGTTATACTTATGTAGCATGCCTGATGACATGATATACCTTACGAAGGTCATTAATATATTTCCAGGAGCAACACTGTTTATGCTTCATCTGATAAATATTCCATCTCCTACTTGCAATGCTATAGTATTCCCGATAGCATCACTTAATACAGACATCAGATTTAATTATGAAAATTGTTCTTTTTCTGAGCTAATAGGTTGTTTCCGTAAATTACATGGAAGTATTAATATCATGATGAGTTCATGCAGTATAATCTCCTTCTTATGCACATTTTCATATTTAAACATTTTTGTTCTGAAGCCCTGTGGTAAACAAAACAAATGCTATTGTTGCCTTGCTGATATCCGATCCAAGAGAGACCCATAAGTAAATGCATTTGGAGCATCATTAGGAAGTCATAGAAAGTTGTGGAAGCAACATGCTAGCTGAATTTGGTTGTGCATAATGTGTTTGTTCCTCTGTTAAAATATGTTATGGTATCTTTCTTCATAATAACAGAAAATCTCTCTCAACAGTAGACCTGTTGGTTACTTATTACAGTCCAAATGTGCCAACTGACAACTTAAAGGGAAACCTTCCTTCAGCACAACACTGTCAGAGTCATAGAAAAGTATTGCCACAGTTCTACAGACTGAGACAGTTAACCAAAACATAACTCTGAAGGACCATGGTCTCCCTTATACAATATGAAGTTTTAATTATTTTTAAGGGCTCAATAATTTATGAATTATTTATTACTTATATATTTAGTAGCTATTTTTAAAACAAAAGCCGTTAAACTATCAGCTTAGGTACACATAGTACTAAATATGTTCAAAGGCAACTGACTTCCAAAACTTATTAAAGCCCAGTAAACATCCACAAACGGCTGCAAGAAAGGAGCATTAGCCCCAAGACAGTATTATATTGACATAAAACAATGCTCGATTTTTCATTGCAAAGTTTCCACGAAAACAAAAACATACCATTCATATGTTGAAACATATTGTGATGAGGAGATTAATTTTCATATTGCCCTTCCACCCTCCCCTGGTCCTTGGTCAATTATGTTTTTGTCCTCTTCTTACTCCTCTTCTCCCTCCTCTTACCCTTCCTTACCCTTCTATTCCTCCTCCCTCTTCTATTCCTCCTCCCTGTCCTGTTCCAGCTCCTCTTCCTGCTCTTCTTTCTCTACCACCTCTGTCTCCTCCCTCTCTTCTTCCTTGACCAGCCTTTTCTCCTCCTTCTATCTTTCTACTGTTATCCCCACCATGGCCCCTTCCCTCTCTTTCTCCTCATCACTTCCATCACACAGACTTCTGCTGCCCTTTCTCTCCTGATTCTTAGACTGTTGGAAACACTGCAACAGAACCACGGCTTTCCTGGCCAAAGCACATGCCTTTCTGTTAGTGACTCAGAATTTTCCTGATCATTGTTTGTTATAACTGGGGCAATACTCGGTTTCCTTATCATTAGTATTCGATTTTTGCATTTTTCTTTTCCATTCCTTTACTTCCCTTTTCTTTCCTATCTACTGTAGCATGCTTCAACCACAGGCCACCTAGACTAGAAATGAGAAGCATCATGCATACGCTGTCTAACAGGAAATGACTGCTATCTTATACTCACTCTACGCTAAAATCACTGGATAACGAACCCGACCACAAATTTAGATATTAAATTCTGGTTCCTCATTTCGAGAAAAATCTTTTGACTGAAGTGCCTCTTTATTCAATTTTACCACAAGTAGGAGGGAGATAAAAATATTTGACATACTTGATTGTCTGTTATTCTTGAGCTCACAGCAAAGATGCAAGATTAATATGCTCAGAGACTAGTGTGCCAGGAAAAGTTAGAAAGAAATACTAGAATTATAATGGGTTATCATTCTCTCATCACTACTTGAAATATCCAAGCAGCATATGTGACTAAGGGTAATTAAAATTTAATACAGAACAAAGCCACTTGTGTTTTCGATTCAATACTTTTGGATAGATACTTTGCACCTGTAAACATCAATGAATTGATACGTATGTATGCTAAAATGGTGTATGTGATTGAAATCAATTGTGTAATTATACGTGACTTGCTTCTCTGGTTTCTCAACTCCTCTTGGTCCACTTTACCTTCCTGCAGACAGAAGCTTTTGCACTGGAGAAGTTTTACCGTTTCTCAGACACGGTAAATGGACTTTCTTAACTCTAAGTAGAGGAATGTGATCATCTATAAAAAGCAGACAGCATATTCTGCTCCGAGGCAGTGTTTGGTGGGGAAACACAGCCCCTTTCTGACTTAAAGCTAAGCAGACAGCATTTCTCTTCAGCTAGGGACAATCATCTTTCCTAAGAGCTACACTCTTGTCTTTCCTTAGTCAATAAAGGCTAAGTTATGATTCATTTTGTTTGCAGCTCAATATAACTGGTCAAAGTGATTTTAAGCACACATATTTTAAAAATATCCTATATATCTGGTAGTAATCTTCACAGGGGGAAATTATAGAAATGGAGAATATTAACTTAAAAATAAATTGGAGCTGGTTGTGGTGGAACACACCTTTAAGCCTGGCGCTAGGAAGGCAGAGGTAGGCATAGGCAGGCAGATGTCTGTGAGTTTGAGCCAGCCTAACCTACACAGAAAATTCCAGACCAAGCAGGGCTATAAAGTGAGATTAGAGTCAATAAATAAATAAATAGCAATAAATATGTAAGGAAATAAATATAAAATGCATTTAGACACACAATTCTAAGAGCAGCTGTACAAGCAACCTGAAAATGAGGTCCAAAATGCTTTTGTGCAGTCTGTGTATCTTTAGAATCTGTTCATTATAAGATTATATACAGAAATTAAAAATTTTGTTTTAATGAGCACATCTTTTCAAATTTGTAAATGAAAATACATAAAGATATCAATCACCAAGACACACATCCATGCATGATGTGTAAATATCTAGGAAGGATATCTAGATTATTGGTCCATGGGTGATTTATAAATGTACCAAAGCCAAGAATTTGGCTCATGAAATTACATTACAAATAGACTAGTTTGCTAAGCTGACACTTTTGGATAAATCGTGTTTTCAAAGTAGCTCCCAAGATGGATTCAGCTATGCATTCTTAACAACCCCAGTTGAGAATCTAGCAAATGAAACAACTTTAAATGAACAGTTTTAGCATCTCTACTTTCTTACAGACTATATTGATGCAGTACTACTTTAAAGTACTGTATTGGCTAGTTTTATGTCTACTTGACGCAAACTAGAGTCATCCGAAAGTAGATAATCTCAACTGAGAAAATGCCACCATAAGATCCAGCTCTAGGGCATTTTCTTAACTAGTGATCAGTGGGGGAGGGCCTAGCCCATTATGGATGATGCTATCATGGAGCTGGTGGTTCTATAAGCAAGCAGGCTGAGCAAGCTATGAGGAACAAGCCAGTAAGAAGCACCCCTCCATGGCCTCTGCATCAGCTCCTGCTTCCAGGTTCCTGCTCTGTTTAAGTTTCTGTCCTGACTTCCTTCAAAGCTAGTCTATGATGTGGAAATGTAATCCAAGTAAACTCTTTCCTCCCCAACTTGCTTTTGGTCATGCTGTTTTACCATAGCAATAGAAACTCTAACTAAGGCAAGTGCTTACTAAGTTCTCCTAGAATCTATAATCACTTAGCTAGTTTACTTTGTTAATCAAATATATATGTTATTTCCCAACCCCAATATTTCTTGGTTTTATCTTTGAAAATGTCATATGATTTATTGACTATAGTTATCCTATTAGCAATATTTTAAATTCATGATATCTGAATAGTCAGATGTAGTGATTTCAATAGAGATTCATATACAAGCATACATATTATAACATACAATAAATAATATATACCCATATAAAATCTGTTTTAAAAACTCGCATATATCATTAGTAACTAAAAAGATTTCAGAAACTATTTAATGAAAGCTGCACATTCTATTAATTATGACTTTATAAGGATTTCTAATGAAAATACACCCTTATCTCACAATCAGTTTTCAACAGGAAAACAATATGGTAATGTAAACACATCCTTTAAAAAAGTATGAACTTCCTATTTTTAACAAGTAGGATAAGCATTGCACAAATGTGGAAATGGTAACTTTGACTTCTGTAAAGAATCTTTCTCAAACTAATGACCATCTGAGCTGACCAAATTCTTTATCATCTTAAACTACATATTCTGCTTTGACAGGTTCTGAGCAATCCAAGTCTTAAAATCCACATAATCACAATAAGACCAACGAATACAGTGTGTCTATTTTCACAAGCAATAATTTGCATGAGTGTCACTCCATATGCTAATTTGGAAGAGTAGCCAAAGTAAACAAAATTGCCTCTTTTATAGAAAGTTTGTTACAAGAGATCTTACATTAGTGCAGATGGAATTCCTAGAAATGTTGTTTTTATAACTTACTATAGTTTTGGCTAGAACTTAATATGTAACCTTTGGAATGGCACGTCTCTTCTATTAGAGGAACAAAAGGACCCTTTGCCTATTTGGAAGAGTAAAAGTTGGCTCTTGCATCCAAATTTCCCCACCCCACACTGTCATAGCCTGCTGTGTGCTAACTCCCACTGCGCCATGTCATAGATGCTATCTCCAGTGCTGAATGTGTGTGGGTGTATGCATGATATGAAAATTTTTTTGGTTAGAGGTTATTCTTGCCATGTATGGAGAGATACACAGACACTGTAGTATTTCTGAACATGCATTAGCTGTTGAGCGCTTTGAGTGATATTGGACTGCTTCAACGCATTTCATGTAGCTTACTCCACATTCCAGCGATGATTCAATGCTTTGCTAAGAGAAAATTCATCTGCACAATATTCTAGAACTTCTGTCTTCCTAAGCATTATCTGCATATGCAAATAAAATAGAAATGAACTAGTATTATACTCAAGAAATGATGAGCAAAGTTTGTGTTAAGCTAGGCCAAGAGTTGTATCTGTATAAAAATACGGATATAATTAACTGCATTATATTGAAAATTGGGGTAATACCTTAAATTACTTTTTCTGCAAATTTATTTGTTGTCTTACTTTAAAGTAGTGCAAAATAACTTTTAAAACTAATGGTAAACTGTTTTTTTGTCTTGTGTTTTGTCATTTCTACCGTCTTAAAACAAATGTAAACTATATGTGTAGTGTGTTGGTTGAAAAGATGAAACCTCATGGCTGAAACTTTATGGTACCCACATACATGAAGTCATTTGATATGTTCCATTCTAGATTTATTGATGCTATATTCTAGACTTAACATATTCTTTAAATAGGTATGACTTACAATTTTTATGTATACCTTTAAAAAGTGATTTCTCAATAATTTAAAGCCAGAAAGAATTCTTTTCTAAAGACTTACTCTTATGAGGCACTGAAATTTTACCTCCTCAAGTAGAATAAAGATGATAAGATTTTGATTATTTTCTCAAAACAGCTATTTAGAATTTACGTTAAGCAAAGCACTCCTTTGAGGTGTATGCAGTTTGAATACTATTCATGAAAATAATATTTGATAAAGTAATGTAGGACTGGCAAAACAGCTCCGCAACTAAGGGCACTTGCTATGAAAATGGATGAAGGCCTGACCTGAGTTCTGTTCTTAGAACCAAGGTGGGGAGGAGAGAACTGACTCCCCCAATTGCCTCTACTTTCCACACCTGGCACATACACACACACACACACACACACATCCACACACACAAGCACACACAGAATTAATAGGTCAACACATAAAAAATTAAAAGGAAAGAATCAAGTAGTGTAATCCCTTCTTACTTGAAATTAAAATACATTATAATTGCCTCTATCTCAAAGTTAATTAAAATACACATGCTGCTTTTCTACGTATCACCAATTCTAATCTCATAACTCTCAATAAGTAACTACTATTCACCGAAATAATTCAAAATATTACACCAGAAGTAAGGATATTATTTTTAAAAACATTCTATGGACTTCTAATCATTCCCTTAAAATATCTATATTCTATTTTCATAATTCATCTAGATCTTGAACTTTCATCTTTAAAAACTTAAAATGCTTCAATACATTAAGCATGCACTCAGCTCTGAGGCAAAGTCATTTCTAATAAATGCCAAGCTCTCCTTCAACTAGTGTTCAAAGAATTTCATATTGACATTTGACTTTCAACTATGAAATAGTTTGATTGACTCTACTTCTATTTCTTAAGATTTATTTTTTGAAACAACACAGAAACATGTACAGGTACATTGAATAATATCTTACACTAATTTAAAAAATATTACCATCTTTTATCTGATCCCAGACCCCTCTAAACGAATGTTTCCTCAGCAAAATAAGCAATTATTGTATTTACTAACAATTTTTTTAAAATCCACACATTCAAAAACCAAGTAAATGGAAGTTAACTTAATTGCCTTTCTCTACTACTTATGCATTTGACAATACATTTGCAAAAATTAGTTAAAGAAGTAGACATTTACAGTTATCTATTCATTAAGTGTGTAAAGAATATTTGAAACATATCTACTAGAAAAACATTAAGGTGGAAAATATATATGTAATCTAACTATAATCTTACTACATTTCACTATATCTTACTACAATTCACATAATCCTTATTTCCAAGTGTCTTGGGTGCTAAATGTTTTGTGATTGCTCAGTGGCAATTTTCATTGATTTGGATTCATCATTTTAAAGACCCAGAATGAGATAAAAGTTCATTCTGACTGTTCTGACCTCACAGGTATGGGAATATACCATTGTGATGACAGAGATGAGGAGATTTTGCCAAAGCACTACATCTGGGCTACCACTTTGAGTCTACCTCTCCCATTTCAATCAGCAGCATGCAGTCATATGAGTCGGCCCACATACAGTGAAAAGGCACTTAGAATTTTCACAGTGTAGCTCTGGTGTATAATTACTAAAATATTTTTCTCTGTTCCCAATTTAAAATGTTTTTTAAAGTCTTCTTATGAAAAGAAATTATACAATAACTAAGTGGCGTTTAAAATTTTTCATTGTCTTACTTTGAAACTGGCTTAAGGAATAATAAGGGAGTTTGTCTCCAGGTAAATTTAACTAATGTCTTCATTTCCCTTTTTTAAACAGTCATGTTTTATAGCTTATTTTTAGCCCATTCTATTCAATCTTTGTTCTATATAATTTGTGTTT